TCTGTCCTCTGCAACAACAACAAAAAAAGAAAAAAAAAAAGATATACCAATCAGCAAAAATAGAACAAAAAATGGTAAAAGCTGCTGTGGACACCCACAGTTCACTCCTAGCAGCTGCCATGCCTTGCAGGCAAACCTCCGCTACAGCACAGACCCTGCAAGCTCTGCCCAGAGCTGAGGGCAGGCGGCAGCCCAAGGGACAATGCGGGGACGTGTCCCTGTGCCACCCATCGCCCAGCAGAGCACAGCTGCAGGGGACGTGGTGGGACGGAGCAGCAGGATCAGAGCTTTGTCTCTCTTCTTCTGTCCCCAAACAGGGCAGAGCTGGCAGCAGCCACGGAACGAGGCGCTCCCCATCCAGAGGGGAGGGCTGCAGTCAGCAGGGAGCTGCCTGCCTGCTGGGGTGGCCCCGCACCGTGCTGCTGACGGGAGGCTCAGACCGAGGCCGTCTCTGGACAACCACCCAAATGGGGAGCAATTCCTGCCCTTAGCAGCCAGCCTTTGTGGCCGTCGGACCAGAAGCCCATCTGCGTACAGCAGAGAGGCCTGGGAGCTACGCTCCCCACCTTGGCGGGCTGACCCAGCGCTGGGCCATCTGTCTGTCTGCCTGTCTGCCCCTCCTCGCCAGCAAGGCTTCCTCCGCACTTGGGTTGCTCTGTGCAGAGGGGATGAACTGACCTGCTGGGGCGAGGAGGGCCGGGCCTTGCAGCTATGGCCTGCGCAGGCATGGCTCAGCATGGCTGGGCATTGCCAGCTCAGCGCTGCCAGAGCTCCTCCTGCATGGACAGTGGTATTCCACCTACAGCAGGGTCTGTTTAGCACGAGCAGTTTAAAGTGGCTATGTTTATCAAGTTTGCTACCTTATGAATTTAAAAGAACAAAACAAAACAACAAAACAACCCCCCCCAACAACTATAAATACAAAGACTCTCACTCACCAGACGCTCGCAGCCGGTGTGAATCATAAACCGCATCAATATTCTGTTAAAAAGCTTATTCTACTCAAAACTATACATAGTACAAGAGATTGAAAAGTGGCAGTGGTGTACGGCCGCACTGCCCGCCCAGTGGCCCACAGTCAGGTGCTTCATAGAAATCAAGGAGTTACAGTAACAAAGCACGGGACTGCAGAGCCCATCACAGCTTCTGATTACACTGCATACAAAGTACCAAGGGAAACACAAAAAAGAACTGGTGTTAATACTGATGAATTAAAGAGTAACTATAAAGATCAAAACAGACGTTCACAGCATGCTACATATATTGCTCACAAACTTTTTTTTCCTTAAAAAAGAAAAAAAAAAAAAGAGGCTAATACAAAATAAGAAGTTGGCAGTCTGATTTTCAGTTACGTCAGATAGAAAGATAAAGCATATACATTCATTATATAGCTCTCCAGCAAAAGGAGAAAGGGTAAAACTGAGAGATTTCAAGTTTACAGAATTCCTATTTTTTTAAGCTACCGTTTATATCCAGTTCCGATCAATAGCTGTGGAATATTGGTGCCTGTGTCTCCTCACAGAGTCCCAGGGATGCAGCCTAGTCATTATGGTTTCCCTGTGGGAACATCTTTTTGCCCTGGATGCTGGAGTGTCTCATAGGAAAGCCGAATCACAGAACGGCTCAGGTTGGAGGGGGCCTTAAAGCCCACCGGTTCCAACCCCTCTGCCATGGGCAGGATTGCCATCCACCAGATCAGGCTGCCCAGGATCCCATCCAACGTGGCCTTGAATGCCTCCAGGAATGGGGCATCCACAACTTCTCTGGGCCTCCAGTTCTCCGCAGCCCCACTGGCCTGGCAATGGATGAGGAGGGAAGCAGAAAGGAAGGCTGGTTTGCATCTGGTGGCACGGCATGAGCATGGAGTGGTGAATGAGGAGCATGCTTTATGCAGCCACATGAGAAAGGTTCCCTTCTGCTCTCCATCCGTGGAGTAAGAAAAGGAAAAAGCTTTCCAGAGCAGCTTGGGGTTTCATCCTTGAGAAAATCTTGGAAGAAGGTATTTCTTACTGCCTCCTCTATGCATGGACATGCATATGAACCTTTCAGACACATCAGTGAAGCTTCTCTAACTGGCCAAAGTGTCAACATCCTCCTGTACCAGGTGTATCCCCTCCAGAAAGCCTGTTTTTGATTCCTACAGCAAGAGCTTCTGCCCGCATTTAGTACGTTCATCGGCAACTTAAATACTGGCTCTACCTACTGTAACAAGGGCAGAATTTGAATTCCTATCTTCCATGAACTCTGATCAACATCCAAATGTGTCTGCACCTCAAGTAACTAAGTTTGCAATCAGAGTTATCCCTTGAATAAATGAAAAACCCAAACCTATTTGTTCTGAAGGCCATCTGTGTCTGTCCGATTACGGGGAACGCAGCTTGGGAGGCCCTGCTGGTGCCTGCCCTGCACCCATCCACGCTGCACATGAGCAACTCAGAATTCCCATGACAACTCCCTGTAAGAAGCCTGCCCAGCTCAAAGGCTCAAACAGGTGTGTTTTGCCAAAGAAAGCATTCTGTCAGTGGATACACTGAATTATTCCTCTAATTCCACAGATGGAACATGATGCAATACTAGCAAAAACTACTTCAATGTTTTAAGCAAGTACTAAGTGCCATACTTTACACTAGATTCATATTTCCTGCCCAGAAATAACCTGATCCTGGAATTAAGTGTTTCTGAACAGGAGAAAGGTCCTCTGAACTCAGCAATGAATGGTAATGTTAAGAAGTGCACGTTGTTCTACACTGTTTTACAGGGTTATGGCTGTAAGGCTGTCTCTGCAAGATTGCTGGGGACTGTGAGTTAGAATGATAGGAAGCACGTAAGGTGGGGTGGTGGCAGCAGGCTGAAAAACAACAGGTTTTGCCCCTGGTGAGCAGCAGCAGAATTAAATATCTACAAGAGAGATCTGATGTGCACTGAGTGGGCAGCTGCATGATGGCCTGGCAAGAAAACTTGCTCTAAGAAATAAATTATCACCGTTCAAGATGCACCTCCAGTTTCCTCATGTCACTGTGTATTTCCATCTCCCACCACTGTGATCCATGCAGTAGGTATGAAATGTCAAATTAATTTTCAACTGCAGATAAAAAGCTGCATTTAAAATTTCCAAAGGTGAAAAAACTGGTGGGTGCATCTCTTTAGACCACCATACCATGCTGGCTACATTAGGAAGAATAAATCTAAAGCTCAGGTGGGGAAAATTGACCTTTTTGTCCAGCTCTTGAAATGACAGGCTAGTGGCAAACCAATTCTAACAGATATATTCAGATCAGTACTGGGAAAGTTCCCTTACTGTGAATTCAACCCCACCTCTATTTTGTGCAACATCATCCCTTATTTAGGGGAGAAGGATCTGAACACCTAATAAAAGCATCTGAAAGAAAATCAGCTGAGTTTAAGAAGATCTGCATTACATTCACCTGGCCAAAACTCTTAAGCCCTGGCACAAGCTATCCATTTGCTAATGGCAGCTGATCTCTTCTGCAAGCAGAGGTGAAATAATCCAACTCTTCAAAAAGGGAGTCCAAACTCTGGAATATGAACCTGTAATGCATGTTGATGTCCATGGAAAACACACATGCATGAGAAACAAAAACCTGTTTTGCAAGAGCATCAGCTTACAGTTTAACTTCTTTTGGAAAGATTGCTCTATTTTAAGCCTCCCCAAAAACCCATTTTGTTAACAATTGCTGCAAATCACATGGATCTGCTTCATGTTATTCCCTTAATCTCTATGGAAACTGCTTGTATTCTGTTCATCGTAGGTGATTAAGTATCTTTAAAAATCTGACTCAGAAATGCAAGTGGGCACCTTGTAGAAATTTGCCGAGTGCTGAGTTGCTTAAATTCCCACTGAAATTCTGGCAACACGCTGCTCTTCCCCAATCCCATGAAAGCATCTCTCAGCACTGCTATGAACAGGACTACTACTGAGGAATCTGGTGCTGTGATCTTCTGCACTCAAGTGAGAGAGAAGCAAAATGTGTTCTTCTGTGTTCTGCTCTAATCTGTTCTACATTTGTATTGAGCTCTACATTTGTAGTTGTTCATAATCGTGGATTTCCCTGTGCTTTAAGGACTTCTTTAATACACGGGAAAAGCTGATGTGGCAATCTGCTAGTTCTTAAAGCTGAAAGTACATCCTCTTCATTTTAATGAAGGCTTTAGGATTTTTGAACCACTAAAAATAAATCCATCTACAGCTTACCAAAATTTTCATAGGCTATCTCAACACTACTTTCAATAGCTATCTCCCAAATTCTACCTTCGTTTAAAATAGTTTCTGCTCCAGCATTATGACACTCTTGTGATGTTCAGCTGTGGGCAGAGTATTCTGGAAAATGCAAATGTTTCTTCCAATTAGTATCTTTTCCATTTCTCTTCATCACCAAGAAAAAAAAGGAACAATTTCAGTGATAATGTACTCTATCAATCAGAACACACATTTTACAGTGATTCTGCAATGACAAGAAGCTGTCCCAGCTCAAAAGCTCCATTCCCTACTTACATTCCCTATGCTAGCTATTTAATTTGTACCTAACAAGCTTCCTCTTCACAGACAGGAGACTGCACACTTTGTGTTATGATGGTCACAGCTGGGATTTTGTGCACTAACATTAATGCTGGTAAATATCAATTCCAATAAAGGAACACAGATGGAGAGTATCTACACTTCCAACAATTACTGTACTCCCCAGAATAATATTAATGATCAAAGCGTGAAGATTCACATTCATGAGTGCTTTCAAAACGCAAAAAATCCAAGAACACTTGCATGTGAAAATTTGGCACAGTGCGACCCAAAGCATGCATGAAGCATATGGTAGAACTGCACGACTTTAAAGAGCTATTCTGAACAAACGTCTATTAAAAATCATAAATCTGAGTATAAAAACTAAGCTCTAAACTGTTATGCTGTAAATGCCATGCTCTGGAAAAAAAAATGCCACATGGAAAACATTTTCAGAAGTTTCAAGTTTGCTTTTAATATTAGGAAAAAAAAAAAAAAAAGGAACAGCAAACTACTCGACATTTCCTGCAGTGGAATGTCTCGCAGGCCGTATGTGACTTGATATGGCACTTAAAGAAAAAGATTTCTGACTTACTACAAATTTTATGGAGCGATCCATTTATGGTTTCTGTATTTCAAATCTGCTCGTGTACTTTGCTCAGAAGGCATCTGAGTTGGCAAGTATATTTCATAAGGAAAGAAGTAAAGGCACTCATGTTTCCAAACACAAAACCCAACCTACTCAAAGAGCCTTCGCATTTCTGAAGGAAAACCAAGACGTCATATTCCTTACCCAAATGCAGTTTCACCTCCTTTCCAGAGCTCAGCTGTGCTTCTTGAGAAATACTTGACTTTTCAAAGCAAAGGAATTTAAAGTAGTACTGTACAGTTGTCATCACTTGGAAAAAGAAAGAAGTATTGCATGAAAAGGCCTCTCAGAAGACCTGCTGTATGCACAAAAGCCATTCGGGGTGGCCACTACAGTTACAATAGGTAGGAATAAGAAAGCTAATCTAAGTTCATATATCTTCATGTCCTAACGCTTCCGAGGAATCTCTGCAGTCAGCTATAAAAATAAACACCTCTGATGTTTTACCCAGTGATCTCTCTAGAAGAGACTCTGATGCTGTCTATCAGATAGCTGTCTAAATAGCCAACATTACATTTCAGAAAAGAAAGAAAAATTACTGATTTCTTCCTCAAAAGCTTTCCACATGCAGGACCTGCAGCTGGAAAGTGCAGCCAAGTGTACAATCATTCAGCCTTCCCAGCTGGAGCAGATGGACAGAGCGGGGAAACCGACATGCGAAGTCACGGCACTGCCTCGGGAAAAGGGAAGCAAACCCATTTCAGATGCACACTGGTCCACGATTTTCTCAATGAAAAGTATGACTGCACCAGTAATATTATCATTCTTCAGAAACTATTCTGTCATCAACAGATAGAAATCCTGTATTATCTCCTAAAATACCACGGAATACTAAAAGTAAATCTATCCAGTGAGCTCTGCGTGTATGCAATGGAAAGAAAGGTCACTCTCCTCTAAGTACTACGGAAAGTCCAAACTGAGAGAAAAGTTTATGCAGTGACAACTTACATCCTACTGGGTAAGCTTAAGCATCTCTTTAGGCACTTCACTGGTTCATTAAATGCAATACAAAATAAAGCTATAAATATCAGCATTTTGTGCTCTTAAAACTAGTCAAAAGCAACAGAAAACAGCACAAAAGTGTGACATTTTTGGCAGCTTATTTCTTCCCTTCCCCAATATTACCAGTTGTCTAAGAATGCTTTGTTTTGGGGATGCTTTGGCATCTCAGTATCAGGTTGTCTTAAGCCACAAAAGCTAAAACAAAACTGCTAGGCCTTAGACAATAAAGAAATTTGGTTTTACAATTTCTTTATGGCTATAGAAGAAGGACACTTTAGCAGTGACATGATAGGGAAAAAAGCTTGCTTTTTTTAATATTGCACTTTTCTTTTGTTCACCCACACTAATGCATAGAAACTTTTTAAGCTTTGAACATTTCATGCTATGAAGAAGTTATGGGAAATAAATTCCTATACATCCAATACGACAGAACAGATACGCTAGCCTTCCTTTACTTTCCTTATTTAAAACATTGAGAAAGAAGAGAGTGCAAGAACCCCACAACCCTATTTTTGGTCAGCCTGTATCAGCTTTATAGGTGCCAACTCAACAAACTGCAACGTGTGATGAGCATGGACATTGTAAAGACAACTGAGGGTGGCTGTCAGTAAAACAAGATTAGGCATGATTCAAACACAGTAAGTGTAGCTGAAATGGCAAATTTTGAGGGCTCTCCTCTTGGGAAGAGACACGATAAAGCAGATGACTTTTGCACTTCAGTAGCATGCTGTAGAATTTGTCATGATTAATTTCACATTAAAGCGTGGTCAAGGTTTGCATCCACATTTCACATCACCTTCAATTGCTGTAGTAAGACAGTGACTGGCAGGCAGTCTCCAGGAGACACAGAAGAATCCAGTGGGCAATTCAATGCAACACAGCACGTGCATCTCTGTCAGAGTTATGAGCTGGTGGCACGCTCTCAGAACAGGCAGAACCAATCTTCTGCTGGACTCCACTAAACTGAAAAATGATTGCTCGGAAAAGAAGTCTCTAAGCACTTCACTCCCTTGCTTAAAGAACAAAGCGCTAGAATTGAATATAATAAAAAGAGTTTTAGGATTCTGACCACCGTGCAGAAATCCAACCGGAAACAATGCAGAGTAGTGCTCCTCAGTGTTACTTTTGTTATCATTAGTAATGTTAAGCATCAAGAAAATAAAACACGTCATTGCACATTACAGCCGTCAAGAAACACGGCTTAACTTTGACACTATAGAATCGAATAACCTGATGCTACATCACAAACAGCTTCTGGTGTGTATCTATTTCAAAAGGTCTTTACGTACTCAGTAAAAATTCCTTTACTCCCTCCCAGTGAATGCTTCAGGTTAAGTGACGAGTTATGGCACGAAGGGCGTACAGAAGTTCTGCTTGCATACGAGCTTCCATTAGAAGTAGATTGACGTGAACCTGTTAGAAATTAAATCAGACGTTCAGTTCACCCCTGAATGCAGGATCATTTATTTCATTTATTTATGCCACCATCTGGAACCTTTAGCAAAGTATCACGTCAAGAAATGAGGTCCTTTCTCCCTGCTCCTGCTGCAAGACTCCAGTTCCTTTTGGGATGACGAACTAACATTGCCTGCTTTAAGGGACCTTCAATCTGAAAAGTCCCAACAAAACCACTTCTGTACCCTAATAGCATAGCTCTTCAAGAATCATATTTTCTTTGGTTTTCTACCACTTATGAATGCCATATAGGAACATAGAATAAGGAACAATTTATACACCGGACAGGCAGGCATGAAAGCACTGAACCTGTCAGGAAGTATTTAACTTAGATATCTGAAGACATGTTGACAATTTTATTGATGAAAAGCACTGTGAAGATTATATTTATATGGAGTAAGCTCTTTTTTGATCCACAAATCCAAAGCATTGGCACGGTTGACTGCATCTGCATCTGCATTCCCAAGTTTATCCACTTTTCTATTACAGATGTCAGTTCAATTTTATGCAGAAGTCACTCAAAGCAAGAAAAAACACAAAAAAATGATCGATACCACCAGCACACTACTAAGTATTTTCATAAGATTGATATTTAACATTCAATGAATTAATCTCATTTGTTTTTCTCTAGTTAAAACAGTTTGGGAAATACATTTTAAATAAAGCCATTTTTAGGAGTCACAGAATGATAGAATGGTTTGGGCTGGAAGTGAATTTAAGATCATCTAATTCTGACCCTCTGCTACAGGCAGGGAGTCACCATAGTTTCATCTATGAACAGCATGTGGGCCTCTGTGCAGCCAGTCTGGCTGTGCAACACGTACCTTCTCCGAGTGCTTGAACTGACGCCAGTAACTGTCGTACATGCGCTTGGTAGTTCTCTCTGGGTAGCAGGTCACTGTCTTTATGTAAACCTTCAGGCTGCGTTCAAGTAGCTGATTAACTTCTCCATAATCATAGTCATCATACCTACATGACAAAGGCAGGAATTCTGTTGGACAGGCATTCTTAAAAGCACGGTCATTTGCAGCATTAGATTCTGATCTTTTGCAACATTAAGTTCTTACGCTTAGGAATTCAAGCACTTGTTATATATGCTAGAATGCATTCTGCTAACAGGGGAAAGGCTCACTACTGGGATGCTGTCTTTTCTGAGCAGAGAATACAGGCTGGTTTCAACCCGATTCATAATCATTTATATGACTCATAATCATAATTCACTGGAAGTAAAAGCTTTACTGACACGGCAGAGAAACCACTCGACTTCCAGACTGAGGTACTACCTCCACCTCTACACCCAGAGTCTAAGATGATGCTTTTCACACCGTTCAATTTTCATTTGGTGCTGATACAGTTTTGAATGTACTCCTTAGCCAGGGGTTTTCTTCCATACCTGATTCCATACATACAGTGGACATAGTTAAATAAAGCTCTTCTTAATGTAGTTGTATCAACATCTTCATGTGTTGCCATAGTGTTATATGTGAGGTTATACACCATCCGGAACTTTTCATCGAGGAGATGCCCGATGTCAGAATAAAGCCTGTTCACGAGGGAAAAGCCATGATTTTCCCAAGTATAGTCCTGCAGGAGAAAAAGGAAAGAAATAAATATACAAGGGACGTGAAGTCCCTGAGATTCTTTCAACAGCTCAACACTTTTTGTTGTCTGTGAGTAGCTTTGCTCTCCTCCAAAGAATCTTTCATTTTGAATCTTTTGTTGGTATCACCTGCTCCATTCTGCCAGGTCTCCTTCTCCATGAGTCACATCACAACTGCCCATCTTTGGTTGGCTATCACCATCCTATGTGAGAAAAAAGCCCCAGCTTGTTCTGAAGTGCAGAGGCAATTTTTCACTGCTCTGCTACTTTGACCAGTGCCATTCTGAACAAGATAGACTTGCAAAACTTAGAAATTTATTCCTCTAGGGGGCTTTAGTGCTTAACTCCAAGCAGAAGCAGAGCATTTCCATCCAGGATGTACAATCACTGGGCAAAGCGCTGAAAAATCTTTGAACAAAGTAATAAAATTCAGGTCTTAGCCAAGCAGCTAGATTGCAAGAGCAAAAGTATGCCTGTTTGCACGAGGAATAGGAAATCTTTGCATGGTGATGGCATGGCATCAGCAGCAGAGGAGAATGACCCTGTATGCATTAGAGCAGCATACAACCACTCTCCATGTTGTGGTTATACAGAACATGTTAGTTTGCCCACATCCTTGACAAGTGTTCCGTTACTCCATCACAGACTCTCTACAACTGAGGGCATCATCTCCACATCCTTCTCTTGCCTGGCTGTTTTCCAGAAGTACTGTGGGGCAAGGGCTCCACTCACTTGCTTTAGAGCTCATCTACCAGACTGAATCCCTGATTAGGACTAAGGGAAGTATCAAGAAGGATAACGTTCAGCTGCTTAAAATTGGAATTCAGTGACATCTGAAATGTTCCAGGTCCCACTTGACCTCCAGTTGCCAGTCCAAACAACCACAAAGTTTGGGAGCTATGCCTTATCTACCTGGCCCTGCAGAGATGTCAAGTACATCCAAGGGACATCACAAATGCTTCAAAAACAGAAACCCCAGGATGGGGCAAAGCAGTGCTTACTGACAACAGCTGATTTATAGCAATCGTGGTAACGTTTTAAGACACTCTGCTGTGTGTGAAGTACCTCTTTCTATCACAGAATTTAAATGCACAGACACAAATGATAGTCTTGATTCAACAGAATAAGGTTCGGATTTATTGCAGAGTTTTGTGATGCTGCTTCAATTTAAGCAGCATTAATAGCAGACTATTTGGATGCTGTGGGTATATACATCGAATTTGGAGTAGGCCATACTAATAAAGTTAAATTGCTAAGGTGACTCCTTTGAATATAGGCCAGAAGCTGTCTTGTTTATTTAAGAGCAGAGACATTTTAGTTCCAATTTCAACTTTGGTTGAGTTTTTTTCCATGGGAGCCTGCTGTTCCTAAAGTATTTAAGCAGTATGTTTGATTTACAGGCTCTGACTCTGCCTTATTCTTTTTGGCAGTATCTACTTACTTCAGACTCATATGAAGACCACAGAGTAAATTGTCCAGACCAGCAATGGCTGCTATATAGCTAAATACATTTCCTGAAAGTGATCACAGATTTTTTATTTTAAAGTTTTGGATACATCTTCTGACCATGGAGTTATACTGCACCTACTGTGCTTTACTTGAAGTTCTCTGTTTCGGTTTTAGATTTCTTCCATTCCTTACAATTTATCACTAGACTGCTTATGAATCTACTCTATAACCTGGAACAGAACCATCTAGAAGGTCTCTGCTGCATCATATATTATACAGAAGCTTATGAGTCTGGTCATGGACAAAGATACCATATGTAAGACACGGTACAGACAGAAGACAGTTCTTTCAACAGCACTGAATATTTATATATTCATAAAGAGTCAGAAACCTCAGTGTTACAGTAATCACATTTAAGAACTCTTTTTCTTTTCAGACATTCAAATTTCAGTGCTGTGGTGCATCTCCAGGAAGTATTTCACCCAATCACTCTCACAGACACAGACAGATCTATTCACTGATAACTCAAGGCAGAGAGCACTTGATACAAATGGCAGGAATAAAGTATTCTTCCAGTATGGTCTTTTTCACATTTGGAGGGACAGAAAAGGATTCTTTCTTTTTTACCTTTTGCTTTTATTCCAGACTAAGTGATACGCTTTACAGTTTTCAAGTATTAATTCTGCTAATGCTTGGAATGCGACTGAAAATGAAATCTCCTCTTGTTTGAGATTTACAAATTGTAAAAGACTCATTGCTGGTAAATTTATAGAAGATTCCAAATTATTTAACGGACCATAACACGAAAAAGCACATGTAACAAACATGCCCCACTACTTCACCTTGTCCTGCAATGACAGCTGCATATATCCTTTGAGCGAACGTGCTTTAAAGAGACGCTACCTGAGCTCTGAATGTTGGCAGATGGTCTTCTCCTCGCCGTGCAAAGTCTTTGTACCCAAACCCAGGATCTTCAACGTAGCGGGAGACATCTGTAGAAACCATTTCATCATCAAATGCTGTGAGAAAAAAACAGCAGAACGCTTTGCTTTAGGCAAGCACAGGAGTCAGCTCTGACTTCAAATTACCACTCTACTGCAGCTAGAAGGCAACTTAAAAATGTGCAAAGGAAAAGTGTGGTATGAAGGAAGGAAAAATGTCCATCTTCATCTGCTTGTATGGAGTCCATCCTTCTCCTGGAGTCTACTTATCAGCCTACACTGGACATCAAGATTACTTCTCCAAGATGGGAAGAGATAAGCTAAACTTCTGGAGAGGTCCTCCTCTTTCAGTTCACTTCTGAGACAGGCTAGGTAACTTAGACAAGATGAATCCTGTCAGTAAAGTTATTAGATTAGAATAAGAGACAGAAAAATAATCCTGTTGACAACCAGATTGTTATGCTGAGCAGATTGTACATGAGCAGGTACAGTGTCCAGAATTACATCAACTGTGATCTGTAACAACCCAGAATAAGAACAAGAGAGCAATGCAATTCTGCACTTGTAAATATCAACAGAAAATTACATGAAAGTGAAGAGCTTTATAGCACAGGCTGAAATTCTGCCAGAAGCCCCAGTAACCAGGCATCTTCAAAGAGCTCCAAAATGTGTCACTAAGCAAGTGCAGGTTCTCTATCAGGAATCAATCTTTCCCTCCCGAATAAACAGGTGGCCTGGTTGTGTAACTACCTTTGCAGAAGTTGACTACTGCATAGCTGACTGCATTTGACCCTGATGTTACAATCCTGGCCTGCTTCCACGTGCATCAACAGAACAGTTGCCATATGTCCACAAGTCGGTTAGCCTAAGAATTGCAGAAGTGCTTTATCTCCTCACTGCCTCATTAAACAATCAAAACATAACTGCGTAGGAAGAAGATTGAGCAGCATCTGCTCAGTGAAGAATTTAACACCTGCATTCATACACCCCAGCAGTGCTGGATTCCCTGGAAGGATACAAGACATGATGCATGCAGACTCCTCACCTCAAATTTGAAAATGAAACCGCAGTGGGTCTCAGTTCATCGACACAGTTGAGTCTGTCTAAGTGAGAATGGACAATGTCCGCTTCTGAACATCCAACCATGACGTTGGTGGAAATCTGCCTCAGAGCTTTTGGACATTCTTAGAAAGCCACAAAACAATCACTGCCAATTCACAGAACTCTTCCTCTCTTTTGGGCTTGGTGCACAAAACCTGAAGTACTTCAGATGTGTTTGTTCTGGCTTGTATTCTGAACAAGAAGCAGCAATTCACCACTAGTGCATATTTTTGGCTTTCTTACCAGATTCTCTTTGAAGTGACTGATACAATTAAATTCATACTGTCCATACACTTCGTGACATTTTATGAGTTGTTCCTCAAAGAGATAAAGCTATGATACTCAGGCAACCCCTAACATAAAGAGATGGCTGGAGATTCTGATTGTCTTAACTATCTTCTTAAAATGCTTTGGGAAAAAGCATTGGGAAAAAAAACCTTGGTGTCTGTACAGAATACTTCATTGCATCATTTGTTAGAAATGAAAACTGAAATAGTCTGAAATAAACTGAACGCTAAGCAATCTCTGACATCATACCAGTAACAGAAAAGCACAGAAGAATGATCACTAAAAACAGCAAGTTAGAGAGGAGGCACGAATGAATAAATCTGAAAACACAGAGCATATAAAGAAAGTGGGGTTTACATTCAAACTCTTACAGAAACCTATGTTTTTTTTCTGTTTTATTTTTCTAAACACACAAAAGGTAAATTTCAAGAAGCAAAATGGATGCTGGTATTTGCCAATAAGGAAAGGTTAAAGAGATGAACCAAGCGAACCTTACCACGCTTTTACTAAGCCAAGATCCAGCACAAAGAAATGGACAAAAATGCTGTAGGCATTGAACTTTACTCTTTCTTTATTTTATGCAAAGCCCCCAAAAAATCCAACTTAAACTGAAAAAGCATAAATACATAAATACCTCCACTAATTACTAGCAGACTCTCCTTCTTCTCCTTCTCAAAGCGAGTGTCCATTTCTTCCTGAGAGGCTTCTTCATCCTCTTTATCTTCTTGCAGCCTCTTCATCCTCTCCATCAAGGCCTCCAGCTCACTTAAGGAATCTGCAATCTGCAATAACATCAAGACATTCTTTAAAATCAGAAGACAGACAGTTTGTCATCTTCACAGTTCATGCTCAACAATAAGCGTTCTCAAAAAAAAAAAGAGCAGCAAATATGAAAGTTTAAGCCAGAATTCCTTGTGTAATACAGAGTGTAGACAAACAGCTTTCAGAAAATCAGGAGAAGGAAAGAGGTAGGTGTTGCTCTCAGCTATCACAGCACACTACAGCACGATTAACAGTGGAAGAGGCTGTGTTTGAACATGGAGAACACGGTTGCTTAAAATGCATTTTCCCCCATTCTGATTGCTCAGGAAAAGACAGCTAAATGCCCTATGTGCATATGAAGCCAACCTTTATGGTACTTTTACTCAATCTACTGGTAATACAAAATATCTTACAGGAACACAACCTGAGACAGAAAAACAGAGTTTTCCTTTTTTTTCTTTTTTAATTTCTATTCATTCTGTGTGCTCAGAACAACTATTAAATGGAGCTTTTCTTCTTGTTCTCGTGTGGAAAACTGTTCTCTTCTACAGAAATGCATCAAAGTTTGGAGCTTGGTGATCTGCATTCACCATTTTCCACAAGGTGAACTGCCTGGTCTTTCTTTTCCACCTTTTCTTCTTGATTCCAGTTTTCTGCCTCTAACTGTGAATGTCTCTCAGTGTAGCACTACCTGCTTACCAAGCTACCCGCAGCCAGCAGCAGCCCTGTGCCCACTACCAACGCAGAGTAACACATCCTGCTGATTTAAGCTGGCATGTCTTACAGCCCAAAACTTCACTTTGGATGTGCTAATGGAACTGATGGATCACAAACTCACACTGCAAGCTGACTGCTGGTTTGGAAAAATGCATCTACTGACTCTGCTCGCAATCCTTATATTCCATAAAGGAGATGGGGCTAATTCACCAACTGATATTAATTCAAGGACTTTTCTTCAAAGGCAATTTTAGGAAAAAAAATGCATTTATGTTAAGTCCTCTCTTGGCTCACTCAAGACCAGAACACCTGCGTGAAGAACCATGCCATTTATTTCAGACATTTCCTCTCAGCCACATGGAAGTGTTCTTCAAAATCAACCTGCTTTGTGATCACAGACCGTGAAGTCAAAATGAATAATGTGACCTCTGCTGCTTTCTTCCCCTTTCTTTTTTCATTCCACATGGTCGGAACATGGGTAACATCGTGTTCTTATCAGTGATACGCCATCTGCAGACACTGGCACTTTAAGTTGCCAACTGGAAGCATAGTTTTAGTCTTGCTCAATGGGTTGTGAGATTAGCTATTAAAATCACATTACTTTAACTATCATCCTCTGTTTCAGTGTGGTTTTGAAAAGGATTACACAGCAACTGCTAAAGCTAATGTAAGAGTAACCAGACCCAAGCGTTTCAGAAAATAGACAAAAACTTTCAAACTACCCTGAAATTTAAACAGGAAAGAATGGAAGAAAGCTTTCTAATGCAAAACAGAGGCAAGCAAAAAGAATCTTCTTGCAACACTAACCCCAAAGTTGCTACTTGTGAGGGATGCATTTTCTATGTTGTTGTCATTGGCAAGATCACAGACACAGAAGTTGTTGACTGCTATAAGTCTGACTCCATTAGATGTATCCGGATCTCTCTCTGGATTAATGCCACTACCAAATACAAAACTTGCCAAGGCATGATAATGTGCCAACAGGACAACAGCATGCACCAGTTCAGGAAGAGACCAATTGTTTTCCCCAGTCTTGACAAGTTTCTGAAATGAGAATAAAAAAAGTGTAAATATAAAATTTCTTTTGGCCCCCAGCTTTTGTATAAGATGCTATGCATGACTTTTAAAAAGGGATCAATTCCTTTCTTCCAATAAATACCATACTCCTCTCGCACACAAACACTCACTAGATTAAAAGAAAGAGGCCTGATATATTACCTCAATTCTCCCAGGGTTACTTTAGTCATTGCTACTTCTAAAAAATAAATCTTGTTGCCTTTGTCACACAGCAGAATTTATTGGCTTATTCGATGCTCTAGAACTTCCCCAAATGTTTTAACTCAAGGTAAAAAAAAGTCTAACCAGACATAGCTTAGTTCTCAGCAGTTCTTATTACTGGACATTTACTGCTACTACAAGGCACAATTCAACAGGTACCTGAATGTGCTCTTTCGTGATCAGCCAGGGCCGGTGTGCAAGGAGTTTGTTTATTTCGTTCAGATTTTTCAGCCTTTGGGGAATGTATTCTAAACCGTTCAACCATTCTGCAATCCCACCAGTCTTCAAAAACTCATCAACATGCATATTTATTAGGTAGGAACACTGATGTCTGGCAGCGGCCTAAGATAATTAAACACAGAGGGAAAAGATCAGCACATTAGCGAGTAATGTGATTTTGTTGCAGGTAGAAACAGGATATTAACACAAAACAAAAATACAATTTGATTGCAAAGGGCCATGTTTTATATTGCAAAGCATTTCTACACAGTAGGGAGGGTTCTCCTGTAAGTGTGATTACTTTGCAACACAAGCTCTAATTGAGGTTGCAAGGGATCTCTAGAACATACTAGCATCTTCTTTCTAAAGGCTTCCTTTTTCTTTTTTTAATAAGAAAGTCAAGGTCATGGGAGAAAATGTAGCCCATTGGTACATACCATTATAGCAATGTAGTGCCTGTATGGCAAAGGAAGGGGCCCATCCATGCGCAGCATGTAGAACTGGCTGCGGAGGAAAGACTCCAGGTACTGCGTGTGGATACTCATGACCTGTGTGATGTTGTCCAGGCGGCCAGATGTAGAGTATTCTTCCACAAGAAGATTAGTACGTTCATCCAAACCATTCGCTTGCATCACCTGCAAAATAAGATGGAGAAACTTACGATACTGGAGAGAAACATACTGTAGTATGAAATGTTGGCTTGTGTAAAAAACTTCTGAAGATCTAGATGTATACATGCGCCTGTTAATAAGTGAATATGCACACAGATGTTACTTGTATACTGAGCACCATATGACTGCTGTTCTACTAACTGACTACAAAAAACCAGAACATTTTCTGCAGAGCTTTCCAAAATGGCTAAACTCTCAGATGCTACATGTAAAATTTGTGTGGAGACTTGGAAGTGAGCAAAAATGGAAAGTAAAGTCTTTATGGATGTCAACCTGTAGAGACACACACTACCCAAACACTCAGCCCTAAAACCAATTTTGAAACTAATGGAGAAGAGTGGGGTTACGTAACCAAATTACAGAAACAGTCTGGCAATCTACCACAGCTGGGTTTGTATAATTGAAGAGGAGATCAAATGCTAATTTGTCTGTAACATTCAATTATTATTTAGAATAAGAATTTAATGCTTTCTTTAAACAAAAGCTGTTCTTTAATTATTCCAGCTGATCCAAACCTTGGGCACAAGATGAAATGAAGCAATACAAGCAAGCAGCTCTTGAACTGCAAGCCCTGACACAGTATTAGTACTATTACTCAGTGTTTATCACCAAGAACTGCCATTTTAAACATGTTCACCATTGAAGCTACAAGCAAAAGGCTAAAATACCCAGTATTTATCCTGAAACAGCACAGTTTTAGACGAGCCAGCTTACTGCTGCAAGCACTATGAAATGGAAAGCCATTTTAGCAGATTTACCATACAGAGACAGAAAACGTGCCTAAAACCAAGAAGACACAACTCTTGCTGAGCAACTCCATTCAAAGCATGTTTTCCTTCTTGGCGATGGGCTGATGAACATACTGTGTACCAAATCTTTTTCCACCAAGCTGGGCCAGGGCAATCCCAGGTATTTATACAAACTGGGGGAAGATCTCCTTGAGAGCAGCCCTGTGGAGAAGGACTTGGGGGTCCTGGTGGACGAGAAGCTGGACATGAGCCAGCAGTGTGTGCCTGCAGCCCAGAAGGCCAACTGTGTTCTGGGCTGCATTAAAAAAGGGGTGGCCAGCAGGGACATGGAGGTGATTGCCCCCCTCTACTCGGCTCTTGTGAGGCTCCATCCGCAGCACTGCATCCAGGCATGGGGCCCCCGGCACAAGAAAGGTGCAGAGCTCTTGGAACAAGTCCAGAGGAGGACCACCAAGATAAGGGCTGGAGCACCTCTCCTATGAGGAAAGGTTTAGGGAACTGGGCTTGTTTAGCCTGGAGAAGAGAAAGCTGCAGGGAGACCTCAGTGTGGCCTTGCAATATTTGAAGGGAGCATATAAACAGCAGGGGGAACAGCTATTTACAAGGGTGGATAGTGATAGGACAAGGGGGAATGGTCTTAAACTGAGACAGGGGAGGTTTAGGTTAGATATTAGGAGGAAGTTTTTCACACAGAGGGTGGTGACACACTGGAACAGGCTGCCCAAGGAGGCTGTGGATGCCCCATGCCTGGAGGCATTCAAGGCCAGGCTGGATGTGGCTCTGGGCAGCCTGGTCTGCTGGTTGGCAACCCTGCACATAACAGAGGGTTGGAACGTGATGATGATTGTGGTCCTTTTCAACCCAGGGCATTCTGTGATTCTATGAACATACCACCTTTCATTTCTGTATTCCCAGTTTGAATTTACGGGCCCACAGACAAAGTGGAGAAGCAGTTTGGCAACCCCGTTATTACTGTGCATGTCACTCCTCACTATTACAGCTTTCTTTGCTTTGCACCAGAAATCATGTCAATTTGGTTTTTCTCTGGAATGTTTTTGCCATCAGTGTTTTATTCATGAGTTAGAAATCAGTCTATCTCACTTTGTATTTTACACCCCTCACTCCATTTAAGGAATCCCCCAATTTCTTCAGCAACTTTACTTTCCTGATGTGTAAGAGACTTTTGTCTCATGCAGTAGTTCCTTGAGGAAATTCTACTTTTCAGCCATGCTGTGTTGCTGGTGTGCTGTTCTCCAGCTAGGCAGGAATTTTCCATCTATCTTAGCAGAAGTTAGAGAAAACATTCTGCTGACAAAACTGAAATACACTCCTGTAGGACTGCACTGTTGCAATACAAGGCGCAGCAGTATGCAGCATTATTGCTTCCAAGATTTATCCCTACGTATATTGCAAATCTCTTCACACTGCACATGTACTTCCTCCTCATTACCTGCCCATATACATCGTGAAAATAAACCAAACTTTGGTAAGACCAGTGTTTTTATCAAACTTTGTGAGACACTGAACATACAATCAGGCTCTAACCACACCTTTCCTACCTACTATATTACTTAATGTCACAGAATGGGGGAAAAAAGCAGTTGTTTGCTCAACAAACAATATTTAAAATTGGTTTATGATTCTGAATAACTTTTCATTCCTACAGGTAGAGGGAGGTTCCAGCTCTGAGTTACTGCTGCTCCTTTCTGGAGACTACTCAGTGCTCTCCTCCTGTACCCTTAGCTAGTACCTACTACCAAGCGTATCAGTTGTAAAATAAATTCATTAAGAATTTACTCACTCAAAATGTTGTATGCTGTTATTTTAATTACAATCACATTTCTCCTTTTCATGCAATTTTTCTCTTAACAAGAGAAACCACATCATTATGAAGTTCAGCATCTCAAGTGCATGTTCTATACATAAAGGAAGTACTTCTCACAAGCTGGGCTGGCTGAAACTCATTCTGCTTCCTCTTTCTCCAGTCTGCAAGGCTCATTTTGATATCTGTTGGGTTTTTTTTGACTTCATTGTATTTCTTGTTGCCAGGCTTTACACTTACTCTGTTTCTAGATTCACATCTTCGCCATGTATAAACAGAGACTCAGAGAACAGCAGATATCCTACCTTTCAAAAATTTCTTTTTGGCTCTTACAGCATGTGAATGATCTGCTTTTACTAAGTATTTAAAAGCAAACAAAAAAAAAAGGCCCTATTTTTATAGTCTGCCATCCCAAACAATTTGTCAATCAATAAATAATACTCTGAAGATTAATTTCAGGGCAAGGGAACTACTGCACAGGAAAGCTTCTATTTACTGTGGCGAGGTGCAAATCAAGGCTTAAGCTGAATACTAAATAATGCACAGAAATCTTCAGGCTGAAATCAAACTGTTCCTTTCAACCATAAATTCTCTTAAGAACCACAGTTACAGTCTCAGAAGTTGGTCATATTTGTAGGCTGACTTAAACTGAAGGTCAGGTACTGCCCTGAGAGCTATATAATGTTCTGTCGGAGTACGGACAGGTCTCCCCTTAGGCCTGACATTAACAGTAAGAACGGATCATCCCCTGTGGAAAGAGCAGAGCAGCACTCAGGGCTGGCATGGGGAGCGTGGGCAACTGCGAGCAACTCCGCTGTCAGCACATGCAGGAAAGGGCAGCTTGGCTCTTACCCGCTGGAGCTTGCTCCTCTTAAACCATTCTTGTAGCTCCCAAAGGGACTCATTCAGGTTCCCCTGGGCAGGCAGGATGGTAAAACTGTTCTTCAGTATTTCCACGCTAAGAGTCACCTCACACTCAGCCCAGCTAACTGCAAACTTACCTCATTCTCAGGTATAAAGGCACTTGGTCCTCTTGTTAATGGTGGAGAGACTTGGACTCTTTTTTCCTGCAGAAGAGTCATACGATTCAATCAGTTTGAGGAATAATACATTAGCCCACTTTATCTTGCAAGTTAGATCTAAAGGCCTTGGCTTGGTTCTCTTCCCAAGGCCACCTGCATGCTTTACAGTCAAGTACACAAGAAGCCATCTCCCCACACTGGATTTGCATCCCTTGTGCTTTGCTCAGACAAATGGCATGAATTTTGGCAAGGCCAAAAAGAAAATTACTGGTCCAATTAGAGATATGTGGACAACAACAATAAAAAATGTGGCACAATGCTAAAATTGGCAATTTGCTGGATTGAACAGGAGTTTTGAAAGCAAAGGGGGAAAAAAAGCTGTCCTTACCACTATGTGCACAAAGGCCACACCTGAGGAATTATAATCAAGAAGCCATTTTCTTCAATGTAAGAACCTAATCAGATTCTAAGCATTTAGCAGAGTACATGCACTTGTTTTGCCAGTGGCTTGAAAAGCCCAGTCACCTTCCAGATACACCAGCAAGGCCCAGGTAAAGACTCCATCCAAAAACAAAGACAAAAATACTATGTTGTTCAGCTGCCAAGTCCAGAAAAGAACAAAGCATGCCATATACCTCTTGGTGTGCCAACTGCAGCTGGAAGAAGAGCTGGAGCCTAACAATTATTACGTGTTCTTTGATAATAGGCAGAGATTAACAAGAGCAAGCGGACTTCTTGTTTAATAATGGATAAGAAATGGAGTTGTGGAGATTTTCAATCTGTTGCCACTGACAAAGAGAAGCTGGGAAGGGACCTGCCTCTCTTCTTTGCTTCTTTACAGCTGTATCCCATGTAACTGCAAACTATGGTTGTGCATTTCTTCAGGTCCCTAATGACACTGCAGCAGAAGTCACTTTTAATAAGTTACCCATCAACAGCAGTATCAGATCTGCATGGCAAATATTTCATGTCCCAAGCATAAAAGTTTGAGGTTTTCCATAACAAATGACCCTCAAATACTTCAGTGACTCTACCAGGCAGGCTTATGTATAGCGGCCACATACACAAAGATCAGTGTGGGTCTGAAAGTGCCACAGATGTACACACAGGGAAATGAAGACACTAGAAATGCGTAACTGTTCTGTGTCTTCAGAACAACCTTTCCCTTTTAAATTAGAGTATAAAAAAAAAAACAAAACCATGCAAAAATCGGCAGTGATTATTCAGGAAAGATGTTCCAAAACAAACTCTCTCCTGACAATTAAATTTGTTACTTTGGAGTAATTAGCTGTTAAATGATGAAGAATGCAGTCATGCATGCTTTCGCTCGTTTTCTGAACTGAGCAGAATCCAGTGCGTGAAAACAAGTAGTCAGGAGACAACTCACTGTGACCACTGCCTGCTGTCACAGCCCCACAGCATTGTAAAATACTCCTTATGAGTCACACGTAACACATCTAAAGTAGTGAAAAAAGTACAGACTGGGTATCTGCCTACATAACCTCTTCTCCATACAGCTATTCAAGGCTCAGAAGGTTTCTCTTAGTTTTAAATGCTTGCTTTTGCCAGCAATCATCTTGGTCAACCTTCAAAAAAGAAATGCTTTCCAAGATTACTATTAATGGTGTACATCACTGTTTTTAGGAAGGGTTTTTGGACATCAAGTCCTTGAAAGCCTTCATTTTGCATCAAATACCTGGAGGAAACAGTTTGTGAGAGGGAGATGACTTAACAGCCCTTGGCCAAAGCGCAGAATGAAAGCAGAGCTGAATCACTGTATCAGTGCCCTCTGAGCTACAGCCCACTTTGCCAGACTGCCCAATGGGTCATCTAGGTCAGACTGGAGCAAAAAAGAGCACTGTTATCCTACTTTTAAGAGGCTACGACCTCCATTACCTACTTTCCCCATTCAACATGGCTGCCTTGAACTTTTTCTAGTGGTGTAGACTATTCCCTTCTAACAACAGAAAATATTTTGCTGCCTCTACACCAAAGCTTCTGTTTTACTGAAACCAGTTAACACAAGCTCATCATCATAAGAGCAAAAATGATCAAGCTGTACAAGTTCTCAGGACGCTATTAATAAAAACATGGGAAGTTTGCAATCACTAAGTAAGATAACAGTGGCTTTGTTGAACTGTAGATGAAAACCACTTCTCCCGGACAAGCTGTATATAAGTAGGGATTTAAAACCTACACAACATGGGAATTAGCAAACAATGCTTCAGATATGTGGTCCTTCAAGATGAGACATTCTTGCAAAGCTTTTTGTTTCCCAAGAAAAGCTGATTCAATTTCCTGCTCAACTCATCCCCACTGGCTGTTGCAAAGTAAGTCAAGTGGGGTCCCAAATATCTTATTTGAAATTGGATTCTTATGCTAAATGAACCAAGGAACAGGTTGCTCAGCAACCAAGATACCATATGCACATCCATGAGCCACTTTCTGCTATTCCTCTATCAACACATTGTTGGAGTATGAATACGTGATCTTAAAAGCTTGTAACCAACATCATTTACATTAAAATTAAAAGAATCTTTTTGGAAGTGCTGATGAGGAGAGAGAAAGATAATGAAGAGCTTCAAAGATGAGAAAGGAGAACCAGGCCAGGGAAGGTTGCTGGGAGAAGGCTGCTGCTTCTTGGAGAAGGCTCTGGGGAGACCCCACTGCGGCCTTCCAGTACCTGAAGGGAGCTCATAAGCAGAAGGGGAGCTCAGGTTTTGCACTGTCTGATAGTGACAGGACAAAGAGGAATGGCTTTAAACTAAAAGAGAGGAAATGTAGGTTAGATGTCAGGAAAAAAAATCTTTATTCAGAGAGCAGTGAGGCCCTGGCACTGCTGACTAGATAGCTGTGCCGCCCCATCCCTGGAGGTGCTCAGGGCCAGGTTGGATGGGCCCTGGGCAGCCTGAGCTGGTGGGGGGGGGTAACCAGCCCACGGCAAGGATTGGAAGCCAATAATCTTTAAGGCTCCTTCCACCCTGAGCTATTCTATCATTCTATGAGATGGGGCCCAATTCATGCTGAGGTGCAAGCTCCGCAGTGGCCTGCTGTGATGTGATGGACACACTAACACACGTGTTGGCAGAAGAGCCGCTGGAAATCACAAAAAGACAGCCCTGAGTGGGTCTCATCCATGACTTGCTTTCTGTCCTTAAGCTGCACTTCGTCATGAACTAAACACCGAGAATTGAAAGGTTGTGAAATGGATCTATTTTTCTTGTGAATGTGCAATTCACACTCAACAGTGGGAAACATCTTCCTCCTTGGATGTGATCTGCCAAAGCACGCCAATACCAAAGGCTGTACCTTGTGCCAGGACAGGAGGCAACAGGCACAAACTGGAACACAGGAGGTTCCCTCTGACCACCAGAAGCATTGCTGAGCTGCCTTGGTGAGGACAGGGCCAGAGCTGAGAGCATGGTCCAGAGCCACACCTGCGAGCTGAGAGTGCAGCTGGCCTGCAGCAGCCCTCCTGTCTGAGCCTGAATTTTAAAGAAATTCAACTTCTTCCTCTTTGCTATCACATGAGTCACTGTGTCCTGAGGCTGCAAAGAAATGACTATTTTTAGCAAGCTGTAAAAGGAGGTTAATTTTATTTGAAACAGAAGAAAATGGAGCCATTATCTGGCAGGGCTGATCAAACAGCTGGCTTAGAAATCCCTTTTTTTTTAATACCTTTTTTTGAATACTTTTTTGTTGAATATTATCATCTTCCAGTAATTTTGCTGCCATCTAGCATTTCTCAGGAACTTTGTTACTTCAATTCTGTGATCTCTTTCCTTATGAACATGTAAAGCACAGGCTGGTGCAGCGCTTGGGGCGTATGGAAGCTCTGCACAGAAGTTGTGCATACAAGCTAACTCATCCTGCACATCAAGATGGTCATGCTGTGGGGAAACCAAATCATTGGAAAGAAACGTTTTGTACCTCATGAGGGAATTCTGCAACTTCTCAGCTGCCAGAACAGCATGAGTGGCTCAGGACGGCTGGTGAAAGGCTGAGAGCCATCACTTGCACAAAAATCACCAGAAAGACATTGGGGCAATAAATAGCACTGGATCCCATACGCATACATCCCAAGGGCATCCCAAAATTACTTTCTCCTGAGGCGTAAACTTTTTTTCCCCTTGGATAAACAGGTACAGTAGTGATGGAAGGCTAAGAAAATGTACTTTCTACTCACTGTATTTACTGACTTTCTCTAATACTTCTCCCCCACTGTGGAAGCCAAGATGGGTTTTATTTCTTTATTTTAAGCCATGCTTGTGCTGAGGTTATCCTTCTCCAACCATCTCTTAGACTCTCCACTGGCATTCAGCTAATCATTACCTATTTAAAAAAAACATGAATGATATGCACTCCCACCTCCTGCTTAATACCCAGGTTGTCTAATCTTCTGCTTCATGTCTGCTCTCCAATGCTTCCAAAAGAGCAAATACCATCCACCCTCTGCCCTACTACTCTGTTCTTCCACTGCTTTATGACACTTCTTCCTCAGATGTTTCCCTCTGCAAAGGCCATTCTCTGACCATGCACAGAATGTATCTTTGGAACAGGAAAGTCTCCATAGCTTTCCTACTCCACAGAAGTACAAAGAGTCAGTGAAATCTCTGTAAGTTCAATAGTCTTCATCTGCTCCTTTTAAGAACTTCTCTTTCTGAATTTTACTCCTACATTATTTTTTCCCCTTTCTCTTTTGCATTTTCCAGGTACTTTGTATAAATCATTTTTTATACTTCAAAGTTCCCAGCATAGGATATTATAAATACTTCTAGCTTTGGATTATTTACCCATTCACGTTTTACTGTCTCCCCATCATAAAATCATAAAAATCATATACATTTTCAATTCGATTTACTACACTATTAAGCTACTCTGTATTCTATATTGAGCATGCTGAGAATCTGTTCATTAGCTATCCAGCAAGTGCCCTTTAAGAATTTCTCACAGCTACTCTATCTTGTGAACATTATGTTCATTTATAACAAAAACCCATACTGTCACTGCTGCCCACTGTGCTTCTACATCCATGTTGTACATGT